ACCCCAGAAATTTGGTCTTTTCTTAAATTCATGTTGTCCAAAGACCTAAAATTCAGTGTTGGTCTTAAATCCGTGTGGTCCAAAGTCCTCAATGGGCCAGACACTCTCCTTGCAGAACCAGCAAGATCAAAAGCTCATGGAGGAAAGGAACCACTGTAAATATTAAAAAAATATGGTATTTTTAGGCAACTCAAACACCAGATGAGATTTTGCCCTCCTACTCCAACAGGTATAATTGGATATGGAAGGAGGTGCTGGAACACGTCTCCAGAAACTAGGCAGCCCTTGATGGCTCCGCTGATGAGCAGAACAAGCTTGGATATTCCCTTCCAAGCCTTCCCTGCGGTACCTGGGACACTCCCAGTGTGTAAACAGCGCTGAACCCCCTCGGGGGTTCCCAGCTGCTGCTCTCAGTTCTCCTTGGAACCTCAAAAGTCTGGCGTCACCTGGAGCAGAGGCTGGGTCTGATCCCCAGCAGGTGACTCATCCCCTCCAAGGGAAAAGCATGGATGGGATGCTGCAATTGCCTCCAAAAGAGCTCATTTCTTACCAATTTTCTTCCTTTTTGTCCTTTCACACTAAAAAAGGATCAGTAAAAAACACTCAGGCCTGACCACAGCACTCATCTTTTTATTATTAATAAAATATTTTTACTATTAATCAGATATTCCTATCATAATTACAATTTTTTTTACTAAGCAGATATTTTTTGTTGGTAATCCAATATTCTAATTATTAATCTGATACATTTATTATTGGTCTAATATTAATCAAATATTTAATCCATAATCTAATATTTACATAAATAATCAGATAACCTTATTATTTATAAAATAATTATATTAGTCCAATATTTTATATTCAATACTTTTCCTGTTATATTATATTATATTATATTATATTATATTATATTATATTATATTATATTATATTCAATATTTTATTATTATTATTCATCTTTATTAATAATAATTTTTTATTTATAATAATTTTAAAAGGAATCTGCTCTTCTGGGCCCGCAGTCCCCAGGCAATTTTATTGTCAATATAATATTGTATTATTAGTCAGATAATTTTAAATTAATTGTATTATTAATACTTTTTATTAATAATCTGATTGGTTTATTAACTGTGACATTTTATTTATTCTGATTAGAGATTAGAAACACCCTGGATGTACAATTAATTTATCCTTAAAACCAAAGCCCTGTGATCATCCGGACTGTGCAGAATTACTCCTCTTTTTATCCTGAAAGATGAGGTTTTGCCTGAATTAAAGCCTAATCCCTTGGATAAAAACAGAATTGTGATGGTGCAGAGTGGCTTTCATTTGGATACCAAGGTTTCACCTGGATTGTGAAGCCTCTTGAGAGCCATGAAGCTGAACCCAGGTGAGACCCAGTTTTGAACTACAACATCTGGAGTTCCCTCCATGCAGATTCCAAAGTGCCTCCAGACTTTGCTGTGAGTTTGGTTTAGCCCTTTGTGGCTCCACATGGAGTCATGGAATGCATTGGTGTTGGGAGTTGTTTTCTTTCTTGTTGTTTCCTTATTATCTGTGGAATTTCTTCCCATTAAACTGCTAAGAAGCACCGATGGCTGGATGCTTGAGACAGGGAGGGGGAACTCCACTAGTTTTTGGGAGTTTGTCTGGGAGGAAAGGGAGCAGAGACACCGCGAGAATAAGGGCAGGTAAAAAGAGATGGGGTTGGGGGCAGCTGCTCTCTCTCTGCTGGGTTTCGTGGGAGGACAGTCAGACCTGCTGCTTGGGGAAAGGAATTTGCTGCCACCACCATAACCCAGCGGGGAACCTTTCTTCTGCTGCTGGGCTCCACATCCCCCTGCCCTGCCAGGACATCCCGCAGGTTCCAGCTATTTGTCCTGGAGTTTTGATACATTCTCGTCCACTGCCCCGGGATTTCTGCTCATCCATGCCCTTCCATCCTGCTGCTCCTGAGGGTCCTGCTGGGGCACTGGGAGTGGCTGCCCCTGGCTTGGTGAAGCAAAGCCTCTCCTCCATCCCTTCCCGCCTTCGCACAAAGCCGCCATTGCCGCGCGCTCCCCGAGCCCGCCCCACAGCGCCCCCTGCAGCCCCCTGGGGATCACTGCACCAGTCCTGCCCGCCGGGAGCCAGCAGCGCCCCTGCTGGCTGTGCCCGGAACTGCACCAAACGGAAAGCGCCGCCGCAGGAGGGCTGGGACTGGGCTCGGGCTCTTGTTTAGTGTTAGCGCCGTAGTTGCTGTTGTTTGTTTGCTTTATTATACACACTAGTAAAGAACTGTTATTCCTACTCCCTTATCTTTGCCTGAGAGCCCCTTAATTTCAAAATTCTAATAATTCAGAGGGAATATCTTGCTTCCTGTGATAAAAATCACCACTGAATAAGATCACAGAATCATGGAATATCCAGAGTTGGAAGTGGCACACAACAATCATCAAGTCCAACTCAAGGCCCTGCACAGGACAACCCCAAAATCAGATGTTGGCCAAGAAATATTTGCTCAGGTACATCCCATCTCACCTTAACTTGGGACTCCAGGGGGAAAACTGAACCAAAAGTGAGATGAGACTTTGTTGTTCCCAGACTTTCTGCTCCTTTCTTTATCTGCAGCTGCAGTGACAAAACAAAAAAAAAAAAAAAAAAAACAAAAAAAAAAAAAAAAAAAAAACCAAAAAAAAAAGAAAAAAAACCAAAAAAAACCCACCACTATACAGAGGATCTGCCCCCAAGTTATTTAATGAGTGACTCCTGGAGGGAACGATGGATCTGAGGTGTAGCCATGTGTCCTGGCTGACTGGTCAGACCAGACATAAAGGACTTGGCCCTAAACCCCATTTTTACAGCAGACGATCTGCATTTGTCATTCTTTTCCAGCCACCTTCTTCCACTTTTTCACTTTTCCAGGAGCTTTTTGCTGTGGTTGGATCAGATTTCCATGACTTCATTTATATGGAAAGTTCTATCAAACATCTCATAAGAGACATCAGAGTCCCCCCCCCCCCCCCCCCCCCAGACCAAAACAAACACACCAGACAGAGTTTCAAGCTTTTAGTTGCCAAAGATAAAAGTTCCACACAGCCTGAGATTAAAAACTCTGAGAAAGCACAAGGAAGGGACACCATCACAATATCAGCATCCAGCAGAGGAGTGGGATCCCTGGAGAGTCCAGGGACGGTTGTGCCGGGAGAACTCAGGATGATGCACAGCCCGTCCAGACCAGTGGTGTCAGCAGGAAAGTCCCATTTCCCACGACAATGAGAGGGGACAGCTTCATCCCATTCCACTGGTGAGACTTTGCATCCAAGTTTTACTTGTGGGCAGCATCTCCAGGGGAACCTGAGCCACTTCCATAGGCAGACCAGTAACCAGGGCTTGGAGAAGACCACTCTCCTCCAGACCTGCATGCCGCAATCTCATCTCTGCAGATGGGTGTCCCATCTCCATAGGTCCCTCCACCATAACAACCATCTTCTCCAGAGCAATCCCAACCGCCTTCCCCCCCACTGCCAGAACTGCAGGTGCCAGCAGAGCTCGATCCCCAAACTCCAGAAGTGGAGCTTCCTCCTCCTCCAGAGATGGATCCTCTCCTGCCTGAGCTTCCTACTCCATACCCTGAGCCTCCACCATATCCAGAGACTCCCCCATACCCTGAGCCCCCTTCTCCTCCACCAATGCACCCACCACTGCCATAACTGGATCCACCACTGACTGAGCTTCCTCCTCCTTCCCCACCACCAGAGATGGACCCTCTCCTGCTGGAGCTGCCTCCTCCATACCCTGAGCCCCCTTCTCCTCCACCAATGCACCCACCACTACCATAACTGGATCCTCCATGACCTGAGCTCCCTCCACCTCCAGACATGGAGCCTCTCCTGCCAGAACTGTTCCATCCTCCAGAGCTCATTCCCCCACTGTGGGGGCTAGAACTGCCACTGCCAGAGCCTAATCCATATCCACCAGAACTGGAACCACCTCCAGATATGGAGCCTCTCCTGCCAGAGCTTCCTCCATACCCTGAGCCCCCTTCTCCACCACCAAGGCAACCACCACTGCCATAACTGGATCCACCACTGACTGAGCTTCCTCCTCCTTCCCCACCACCAGAGATGGACTCTCTCCTGCTGGAGCTGCCTCCTCCATACCCTGAGCCCCCTTCTCCTCCACCAATGCACCCACCACTACCATAACTGGATCCACCACCAGCTGAGCTTCCTCCACCTCCAGACATGGAGCCTCTCCTGCCAGAACTGCTCCAGCCCCCAGAGCTCATTCCCCCCCTGTGGGGGCTGGAACTGCCACTGCCACAGCCTGATCCATATCCACCAGAACTGGAACCACCTCCAGATATGGAGCCTCTCCTGCCTGAGCTTCCTCCATACCCTGAACCCCCTTCTCCACCACCAATGTAACCACCAGAGCTTGACCCTCCACTGCCTGAGCTTCCTCCATAGCCAGAGCTGATTCCTCCTCCAGAACTGCTCCCACCACTGCCAGAGCCTGATCCCAACCCGCCAGAGCTGTGACCACCTCCAGACATGGAGCCTCTCCTGCCAGAGCCACCTCCATATCCTGAGCTCCCTCCATACCCTGAACCTCCTTCTCCTCCACCAATGCACCCGCCACTGCCAGAGCCAGATCCTCCATGACCTGAGCTCCCTCCACCTCCAGACATGGAGCCTCTCCTGCCAGAACTGCTCCAGCCCCCAGAGCTCATCCCCCCACTTTGGGGGCTGCATCTGCTGCTCCCAGAACCAGATCCATAACCACCGGAGCTCTGGCCACCTCCAGACATGGAGCCTCCACTGCCAGAGCTTCCTTGTCCTCCTCCTCCAGACATGGAGCTTCCACTGCCTGAGCTTCCTTGTCCTCCCCCTCCAGACATGGAGCCTCTTCTGCCACAGCTACTCCCTCCTCCAGAGCTCATGCCCCCACTTTGGGGGCTGCATCTGCCACTCCCAGAGCCTGATCCATAACCACCAGAGCTCTGGCCACCACGGGACATGGAGCCTCCACTGCCTGAACTGGATAAACCCCCTCCAGATCCTGAGCCTTTCCCACCTCCAGAAATGGAACCCCCACCACCAGAGCTGGACCCCCACCCTCCAGAGCTGCTGCTGCCCTTGGACATGGAGCCTCCACTGCCTGAGCTTCCTCCTCCTCCAGATCCTGAGCCTTTCCCACCTCCAGAAATGGAACCCCCACCACCAGAGCTGGACCCCCACCCTCCAGAGCTGCTGCTGCCCTTGGACATGGAGCCTCCACTGCCTGAGCTTCCTCCTCCTCCAGATCCTGAGCCTTTCCCACCTCCAGAAATGGAACCCCCACCACCAGAGCTGGACCCCCACCCTCCAGAGCTGCTGCTGCCCTTGGACATGGAGCCTCCACTGCCTGAGCTTCCTCCTCCTCCAGATCCTGAGCCTTTCCCACCTCCAGAAATGGAACCCCCACCACCAGAGCTGGACCCCCACCCTCCAGAGCTGCTGCTGCCCTTGGACATGGAGCCTCCACTGCCTGAGCTTCCTCCTCCTCCAGATCCTGAGCCTTTCCCACCTCCAGAAATGGAACCCCCACCACCAGAGCTGGACCCCCACCCTCCAGAGCTGCTGCTGCCCTTGGACATGGAGCCTCCACTGCCTGAGCTTCCTCCTCCTCCAGATCCTGAGCCTTTCCCACCTCCAGAAATGGAACCCCCACCACCAGAGCTGGACCCCCACCCTCCAGAGCTGCTGCTGCCCTTGGACATGGAGCCTCCACTGCCTGAGCTTCCTCCTCCTCCAGATCCTGAGCCTTTCCCACCTCCAGAAATGGAACCCCCACCACCAGAGCTGGACCCCCACCCTCCAGAGCTGCTGCTGCCCTTGGACATGGAGCCTCCACTGCCTGAGCTTCCTCCTCCTCCAGATCCTGAGCCTTTCCCACCTCCAGAAATGGAACCCCCACCACCAGAGCTGGACCCCCACCCTCCAGAGCTGCTGCTGCCCTTGGACATGGAGCCTCCACTGCCTGAGCTTCCTCCTCCTCCAGATCCTGAGCCTTTCCCACCTCCAGAAATGGAACCCCCACCACCAGAGCTGGACCCCCACCCTCCAGAGCTGCTGCTGCCCTTGGACATGGAGCCTCCACTGCCTGAGCTTCCTCCTCCTCCAGATCCTGAGCCTTTCCCACCTCCAGAAATGGAACCCCCACCACCAGAGCTGGACCCCCACCCTCCAGAGCTGCTGCTGCCCTTGGACATGGAGCCTCCACTGCCTGAGCTTCCTCCTCCTCCAGATCCTGAGCCTTTCCCACCTCCAGAAATGGAACCCCCACCACCAGAGCTGGACCCCCACCCTCCAGAGCTGCTGCTGCCCTTGGACATGGAGCCTCCACTGCCTGAGCTTCCTCCTCCTCCAGATCCTGAGCCTTTCCCACCTCCAGAAATGGAACCCCCACCACCAGAGCTGGACCCCCACCCTCCAGAGCTGCTGCTGCCCTTGGACATGGAGCCTCCACTGCCTGAGCTTCCTCCTCCTCCAGATCCTGAGCCTTTCCCACCTCCAGAAATGGAACCCCCACCACCAGAGCTGGACCCCCACCCTCCAGAGCTGCTGCTGCCCTTGGACATGGAGCCTCCACTGCCTGAGCTTCCTCCTCCTCCAGATCCTGAGCCTTTCCCACCTCCAGAAATGGAACCCCCACCACCAGAGCTGGACCCCCACCCTCCAGAGCTGCTGCTGCCCTTGGACATGGAGCCTCCACTGCCTGAGCTTCCTCCTCCTCCAGATCCTGAGCCTTTCCCACCTCCAGAAATGGAACCCCCACCACCAGAGCTGGACCCCCACCCTCCAGAGCTGCTGCTGCCCTTGGACATGGAGCCTCCACTGCCTGAGCTTCCTCCTCCTCCAGATCCTGAGCCTTTCCCCCCTCCAGAGATGGAACCACCCCCACCTAAGCTGGATCCACCCCCTCCAGAGCTTCCACCTTTTCCCCCTCCAGTGACTGGCCCTTTCGTTCTGCTCCCACTGGTACCATCAGAACTCATTCTCCCCTTCACACTCTTTATGCCTCCAAAAACTCCAGAAACTCTGGCATTGTGGTCAATGACACCTGGAAGAAATGGAAATTACATTCAATTTATCCTTTTTACCTCAGAAAACTCTTAGCAGGGCTGATTTAAGCATCGTCCTTCCTACCCTGGTGATCATAGGCTTATCTTTGAAGGGGCCAACAAGAATATCCCTTAGTAGACATCAACCTATGGAATATTTTTCTGGGGTTTTTAGCTTTTTTTTTTAAAAACATCATTTATGTCTTATTTCACCTATGAACACTCAGTGCAGCCTATCCTCTACAAAGGCCAAGACTGTGTTTCTTTCTCCTTCAGCTTCCTCAACTTTCACACAAATTTTAAGACTAGTTTTTATTTCCTTCCCTTCTGCCCTGCATCAAACAGACCTATGGGTTAAATGTGGTGCTTCCAATTTCCTCCAAATTTATTAGGAATTAGCCAATAATTCTAAAGCCACTTGTTACATTAATGTGTGTTCACAAACTCCCCTTTGCATCCTTTCCTGAATTTGGATGGGAACTGGGATAGTTTGTTCCAATGGTGTCAAGACCACAAAGTAGGAACAGCTTCCTGTAAAAAACCCTGAGAAAATTGGGATACTCACAGATTGTGGCTGGTGATCCTTCCTGGATCCTGTGGAGGAAAAGTGACACTGAGGTAAGGCAGCCAATAAAATCAGAATTAAAATTCAGGTTAGGCTTTATCAATGATCTGCAGAAAGGTGACTCCTCCCAGGCCCAGTGCATCCCAGAATCCCAGTGACAGAGCCATGGACATGCTGCTTTGTCTGGGTGCTTCACCCAGGGTGGATTTTGCCCCCACCTGTTCTCCTCCTCCTCGAGGAGTGATCGATACATGGCAATCTCAATATCCAGGCCCAGCTTCACATTCAGGAGCTCCTGGTAATCGTGGACAAGCTGAGAAAGGTCATCCTTGGCCTGTTGGAGGGCATTTTCCAGCTCCTCTAGCTTTTCCTGGCCGTCCCTGACGGCCGAGCTCCCACGGTGCTCAGCATCCTTAATGGAGTCCTGGAGGCTGGAATTCTGCAGAGGGAACAAAGGGAATGTGACCATGTCCCGTCTGTGGGGAGGATTTTAGAAGAGAATCATGGAATACCCATTGTCAGGAGGGAACCACAGGAATCATCGAGTCCAACTATCCCAGCACATAAAAACCCCCAAATCCCATAATTTTCACACCCTCCTGGCATTCCTTGGAAATCAAAAGGCTTTCCTCAGTGACAGAACAACAAAAATACATTGGACTGGGTAAACTAACACAACTAAACCCCAATATAGATACCAAAAATCTAAATCTGCTTCAACTGGAAGAGAAAACTCCATCCCTAAGTTTGCCTCCAAACAACTGGCTGCTACATACTGCACTGAGATCCCATGGAAAAGGAGCATAAACCATGTAGTCCTGGTGGAAAGTATCAGCTTTACCCTTTTCCTTGCGATTTCAATTTCTGGTTGGAGTCTTTGGATCTGCCTGGCAAGTTCCTGGATTTCCTGGTGACTGTTCCTCAGCTGCTCTCGTTGACTCACCCACATGTTCTGCAGGTCCTGGTACTGATGGGAAGAGGACACAAGATTTTTTGGTTTCTTTTCCAACGAGGAGATCTGTGTTCCTGTTTCCCTGGTGTGCACTCACCCTGCCCCGGTACATGGCATCCACTTCAGCCATGCTCCTGTGGGCCATCCGCTCGTATTCCTGCCTGACCTCCTCGATGATTCCATCCATGTTCAGGTCCCTGTGGTTGTCCATGGACAGAATAACGTCAACATTCCCAGCAACCGTTTGCAGCTGGGACAGCTCCTGCAGGGAAAACCAGATTAGGAATTTTAACAGTCCTTGTGGTCAGTCCAGGTCTTTATGAGGAAAAACGGGGACCTTGTGGCCAATTTCCCACTGGAATTTCTCCACCTGCAGCCGTCAGGTACCACTGTACCCCCACCACTTGTAATTTGCAAGGTCTTCTAGCCTTCAGGACACACCAGACGCCTTTTCACTCACAAAAGGCCGAGGATAATTAATTCTCCAAGCCAAAAATCCCACCCAAGCAAAATTTCTGGGAATCTCCAGAAGGCATGTCCTTCAAGACCTGTGGGTAAGATGTGAATCACTCACAGCTTCATATAAACACCGGAGGAACTCCAGCTCCTGCCTCAGGATATCCACTCGGACATCAGACTCCATTTTTCCCATGTAAGCACTATCCAGTTCCTGTATAATATTTGCATTTTGTTGACCCAAATGCTCCACTGAAGTGCAATTCTTGCGATATTTCCATAAAGCCTTTATTCCTGGAATCAAATAATGGCCTAGAGATCTCAGATTTCATTTGAAAATCAAGGGGAACAAAGGGAATTTGCCATTTAAGATTAAAAAATTGGCTGGGAAATGAGTACCACAGCTGCAGCAAAAAACTGTTCCTGGGGAACATGAGAAATGGGAAAACACAATTTTTATTCATACTTCTAGTAAAAAGTTGCCTAAATTTTCTCTTCACAGATAGTTTTAGTTTTCTAAACCATCTACAGAGATTATTTAACTTAATAACAATATTCCACCTGGACTGGGATTGAGTGAATAGGGAAAAAGCACTTTTTAGATATTTGTCCTACAAAGGACCGATTCATTCTCTAGAGGAAATAATCCCTCCTCAGTCTTGTTCTGATTTTCAGTTAGTTTGGTTAAAATTAGACAAAGCTCAGCAAAAACTTCAGCTTTTGAGAACCTTGGCAACCACCCAGATATTGTTTTATTTCTAAGGCTTTAATTTACTCAGGATCTCAGGTCAATTCACCTTTTTAAGCTCCACGAACTCCTCCTCCTTGGACGTGCGTTTGTTGATCTCATCCTCGAATCTGTGGGACAGAAGGAGGTAGATTATTATCTATTATCTATAATATATTATCTATCTGTTATCTATTATTAATTAATAAATTTAATTAATCTATCAATTACCTTTAATTATTGATATTAGTTGTTAAGTCAGGTGGACCAGTAAACAACAGAATCACTCAAAGACTGAATGTGTTGAGTTTTCATTTTACTTTAATTACAATTTCTGGCAAGTGCAAACCCTCTGCAAAAAGATGCCCAAAAACAGCCCAAAAAATGGAGTCAATACAGATCACTTCTAAATTTAGTAAATCGGAACTCAACTGTTCATTTTTCAGAGCTGTGGGTGGACATAAATCATCTAAGCCAGAAAAGGTGACAACTCTTCCCAACTTGACCCCAAGCTCAGCTCTGTCCCTTCCCACCAGGGCCCTGTGAGTGGAATCTTGGGTCACTCACTGCTGGGGGGAAAAAGAAAAGGAGGAGTCTGGGAAAGAAAAAGGATGGGAGAGATCATCACAAACTTTGGTTTTCCTCTCATTTTTGGGATTTCAACCCTTACTCTTCCAGCATCAAAGTCAAGCCCATAATGACCTGCAGCAGAGCAGGGCTAAGAAACTTCAAACTCCTGCAGATGCAAAGCTGAGCTTTGCCATCCAAGGGCATATGAGCAGCACCTGGGAAAATCCCATCACCTGTTTTCCCAGATTTGGGACTATTCACCTGTTTTTGTAATCCTCAACAAGCTGGAGCATGTTGTAGGCTTCGGGATCCAGCTGCTCCTTCTGGCTCTGGAGTGTCTCGAGCTGCCGCTGCAGGTTGGTGATGTAGGACTGAAAGAAGCTGTTGATGTTCCTTCTCTCCTCAGGGCCAGAGCTTTGCTGCTGCAGAAGTTCCCACTTGGCCAAGAGTGCCTGATTCTGCCGCTCCAGACATTGAACCTGGAAGGTGAAGCAGATCCAGAGGGGCTGCATGTCTCCAGTTGGCATCTCTGCCATGGAGATGGGCTGGGAGAGCTGGGGATGCTCACCTGGAGAGGAGAAGGGAAAGGAGACCCTGGAGCCCCTTCCACTGCCTAAAGGGGCTCCAGGAGACCTGGAGAGGGACTGGGGACAAGGCCTGGAGAGAAAAGACAAGAGGGAATGGCTTCCCACTTCCAGAGGGCAGGGATAGATGCAATATTGGGAAGAAATTCCTCCCAGAGAGGGTGGTGAGGCCCTGGAATGGATTTCCCAGGGGATGCTCCATTCCTGGAAGTGTCCAAGGCCAGGTTGGACAGGGCTTGGAGCTCCCTGGGTCAGTGGAAGGTGTCCCTGCCCATGGCAGGAACTGGATGAGCTTTAAGGCCCCTTCCAGCCCAAATCACTCCACAATTTTATAATATTGACCAAGTAATAACTTGGATACCCAAAAGTTTAGAAGGGAAAGAAGAGTCACAGACATTCAGGACTATGGAATCCTAAACCTCCTCAGTGTAACCAACACCTCCTGTCCAGTGAAATAGGAAACCCTGAAGTCCCCACATGTAAAAGAGAGAAGCAGAGACAGAGACACCTTCCAGATACCAGTGAGGTGGAAAAGCTTTTGTGGCTGGTTTGAGTAGAAGCAGAAGAGAAAACTGGAGAGACGGAAAGTTAAAGAAAAGCTGAAGATGGACCACCTAGTAGAGAGCAGGGCTTCCAAACCAAGAAGTGATTTGTTTAATAATTCAGAGAAATTGAATTCATTTGCAATTTCTGGTAAGTGCAAACCCCTGCAAGGAGAGGCACAAAACCAGCCTGTTCTTGCAAGGTTTGGCTTTGCTTAAGAAAAAAATACTAACTCATCAAGATGTCCAAGTCCCTCACCCATTTTTCCTGCTGGCATCAACAACCTTCAGGCACCAGAATATAGGAATATATATACCCAGAAACCACTTTCTTCAAAAGAGGAGTGAGTCTATGTGCTAGTGACATCTCAGTAGTTTACTGTCCTGCCACAAAAGACAACTCCAAGATCTTTACCCCAAGGCAAAAAGTGATTCACCCAGCGGTGTTCACAGGGACCCATTGTGAGCTTCACAGCAGCCTGTGGGAATTCAGCCAATGCTGGGATTTTTGTGGGGAGAAGATGGAACATGAAGGTGTCCCCATGACTCACACCTACCTTATACCTCCCCCTTCCCAGATAACAGCACAGAAACCAGGACTCACCTTCTCGATGAATGATGCAAATTTGTTGTTGAGAGCTTTGATCTGCTCCCTCTCATCTGAGCACACTCGCTGGAACTCGGGGTCCACCTGGAGCCGTATTGGCCTCAGCAGGTTGGTGTTGACATGGACCTCCTCAATGCCTCGGAGAATTCCAGCCTGCCCCAGTCCCTGTCCAGCCCCTTGTTCCCCTACACCAAGGCCTCCTCTGAGTACCTCCCTGCCTGAACCTCCTCTGTAGGTGCCACCTTGCCCTATTTTACCACTTTGAAAACCTCCCACGAAATATCCTCTTCCACCAAAGCCCCTCTCAGGTTGTCTCCAGCCACCAAACCCAAAGCATCTCCCATATCTTACTCCTTCTCCTCCGTAGCCTCCACCAGTATAGACATTCCTGAACCCTCCATAGCTGTGGAGGCTCCTGCTGCCATACCCATGCTCAAACCCTCCGAATCTCCCATCTCCACCACCCAAGGTCCCGCAGTGAGCAGAAGAAGAACTGAAACTCCCATCCCCATATCCAGAGAAATATCGTCTCATGGCAGCACTTCCAGTTGGGAGAGCCGGTGGAGGAAGTGGTGAAACAGGAGGAGAAATGAGAATGAAGGATCCTCAGCTACTCTAGAGGAGAATGGAAGTTCTCCTTTATACGTTCTGGAGGAGCTCATCTCCATTCCGTAGTAATTAGCAGGTCTCTAATGTTGTTATTGGGTTTGGTTCATCAGGCAGCAATTAATGGCTGCCCAGAGAGGTCAGATAAACACCAACACCAGTGGGGCAGTTGTGAAATTCCCCAAATCCTGCCTGACTCATGAGCTTTTCTCCTTCATTGGGACAGTTATTAAATTAAATACTGTATTTCTTCATGTGCTACTGTATGGCTCTGGCAGTACTTCTTAAATAATCAGAAGTGCATTGATGTTCTTATTTATTCACTCTGTTCTGCCAGTGGGGCTTGCCAAGATCCTTCATTTGTATTTAGGATCTGGTTTTCCCAGACACCCTCAGGATTTTAGTAGTTTTGGGTTTTGTGTTTTCCATAGTTCTTTTTTTCCCCCTTTTCTTTTAGTTCTTTTTATTTCTATTTTCTGAAGAGTTTATGGCTGCCTCATCTCTGGAGGTGCTCAAGAACAGGTTGGATGGGGCTTGGAGTGACCTGGTCTGGTGGAAGGGAGACCCTGGAGCCCCTTCCAGTGCCCAAAGGGGCTCCAGGAGACCTGGAGAGGGACTGGGGACAAGGCCTGGAGAGAAAAGACAAGAGGGAATGGCTTCCCACTTCCAGAGGGCAGGGATAGATGCAATATTGGGAAGAAATTCCTCCCAGAGAGGGTGGTGAGGCCCTGGAATGGATTTCCCAGGGGATGCTCCATTCCTGGAAGTGTCCAAGGCCAGGCTGGACACAGCTGAGAGCTCCCTGGGTCAGTGGAAGGTGTTCCTGCCCATGGCAGGAACTGGATGGGCTTAAGGTCCCTCCCAACCCAGACCATTCCATGACCTTATTTTGGGCTGATTTAGATGATTCTTTGGGAATGTTGAGGCGTTTCCTTGAGCACCAGCCTGAGAACTGGGATTTATTAGTCCCATTTAGGTTTTGAGTTGAAGGTGGACAGAGGTGGATGAGGGTGGTGGAGTTTGGCAAGTTCCCGCCCCAGTTGTGCTCAATAATCTCCAGTTTGGGTCTGTCTCTAAATTTCTGGATGTTTCCAACATGTCCATCCTGGTTCCCTCATTGTCCACAAAAAGTCACACTCATCTCACTGTCTCAGAGGCTTTTCCAGGTGGGAGGAACTTCCCCACCTGCCCCAGGGACTGCTGAGGATGGCCAGAACAACACAGGGGGCCTCAGTCCCTGGTCCAACACCTGCACAAGTGGCCCAGGCAGGCAATTTTAATGGATCAAGTTTTGGGAAGCAATTTAAACTTATCCTTAAATCCCAAGACAAAGAGCCAGGTTGACCCTGTGGTTGTAACACCCTGGTCCCGTGAAAATCCATCTCCCTGGGAAGGATGATGGATGAACCTGTGATCCCTTTGTCCCAGCTGTGTCAGAAAGTGGAGGGAATGACAGGAAGCTCCCATTTCATCCTCAGGATGCGTGGACATCTCTTGGGATGCATCCCTGTTTCTGGAGCCAGCTTGACAGGTCCAGGTGTGGTTGGGATGTGCTGCCAAGGCTGATCCAGTGTCAGCTCCGATCACAACAGCTGCCCACACTCTGGATTATGGCACGTGGGGTGGGATGGCTGCTCTCCTCACTCCGGCTCTGGGCTCCAGCTGCTACAGAAAGCTCAGAATTCACACCTGGTTCACTTCAGCTGCTGCACAGGGCAGGATTTTGGCGTGGGCACTCTCCCACAGGGAGCTGTGGCTGCTCACTCTCTGGGGTCACAACAGTTCCTTCCATGGTCCATGGGGATTACCTGCAGTGTCGCCTAGTGCAGCTCTGGAATGAGGCACGTGGAAAGTGGGAAGAGGAGGGGTGGAGAGGGGAATCACACTGGAGCCAGCACCAGCCCTTCTGAATCACAGAATCATTTAGGTTGGGATCATCAAGTCCAATGATTTCCTTGACACTGCCAAGGCCACCATGGACTGTGTCCCCAGGTGCCACATCCACACATTTCTTGGACACTTCCAGGGATGAGGACTCCACCCCTGCCTTGGGCAGCTGTGCCGGGCTGGACAACCCTTTCCAGTAAGGAATTTCCCCCAATTTCCAACATAAACCTGTCACAATTTGAGGCCATTTCCTCTCATTCTGTAACCCACAACCTGGTAGAAGAGTCAGACCCCATCTGGCTCCAACCTCTCGGGTTTCCTGCGGTCAGGATGACCCTGAGAGTCCTTTTTTCCCAGCCCGGCAGCCGAAGAAAGAGTCGGAGTTCTTCAGCCCGTGTTCACAAGGTTGTTTATTATCTACTATCTAAAACATTTCCTTCCTGAGCCGCAGAGGTCTGGTCTGCAGGTCTGCCAAGGGCACACTGCCCTGGGCTGGTGTTGTCTTTTTATACTAAAAACTACGTGTACTTTATTTACAATTATTTTCCAATACCTATCATCTATGTTAGACAGTCTGCTTCTATTCCAAACCAATCCAAATATACTAACATCACCCAGAAGATGGAGGCTAGGAAGAAGAAGGAAGAAGGACAGGATAACGCCCAAATTCCTCCATCTTGCCCCCTAGACCCCCATAGTAAAATTCTTCAAAATCCCACCTTTCACCCTGTGACAACTGTTATTGTGTTACTTAAACTTTTGTGACCTTTAATTCTTCATACAAAGTTGGTAATTTGCTCCATGGGTTAAGATTGAATTCCCAAGTGTCTTTGGCTTCCTGCCAGGCGCCCATGTCATCCCGGGCACCCCTCTGGGTGTCCTGGATTCCCACACCAACCTTTCCAGTCTCCTTCGGGAATTCCCTCCCCTCTCCCCTGCTTTTAAAATACTGGTAATTGCACCATTTTTTAATGTTCACCGTAATTAATTCCTGCAGGAGGCAGAATTCTCAATCCAAGTCAGATTTTTATGCAGGTTTATAAAAAGGGGGAAATCAGCTGGAAATCTGGTTGAATTTCATCAGGAAATGTTGATAATGAGTAAAATTTAATTACAAAATTACAAAATTAGCACAGAAGGAAGATTTGAGGTGCTGGGTTGGCTTTTCCTGGTGTAAGGTGAGGGAGGGGATTTTGGTAGGGAAAAAGTGGGTTTCTCAGCTGTTTTCCTGGAAAACACTGGGTTTCCAGGTGAGAAAAGTCTCTTTGAGCATCCAAAGTCTTGTCCACCTTGAGATATTCCAGCTGTTTTAATAACCTCCAGCTACAAACCCCTAATTTAGGGAATTTATGAGGCACTTTCCAAATGGAGCCAGGATTGCCCAGCCCTGACCACAGAACCTCTATGTGGTGGATTCTCAGCCTGGCTTCATCCAGCTCCTTTGGGAGGAAGAGAATCCTGCCAGGTGAAGCCCAACTCCTCCTAAAGTCATGTAAGGGTCAAAGAGGAGGTTCTCCCATGGGGATGTGGTTCCAGAGGTGGTTTTGGAGGAACCACATCTGGTGACTTTTCAAGAAATTAATCCAGGCTGGAGCCTCCAAGTGGTGCTGCCAGCAGTGGGGTTTGGCTCCCGAATGCTCTTCCATATGCCCATAGCCACTGAATGTTTGAAAGGTGGAGTCTGGCACAGAGATGGGGAGGGGGGTGGATCCTCCCTGTGAGAAGCAGAAGTTGCTCCTGGGATATTCTGGGAAAGAGACAACAGGAATGTGAAGCAAAGGGTGCAGCAGGTACTCCTGGTGATGCAGTGAAGGGAGGTCAGACACCCCCAAGGACCATCAAGGTCTTGTGCCCCTTGAAATACCAAAAGAGGTGGGGAAATATGGAAGAGCATGAGCTGTGGGGATGAGCAGAGGTAACTGTAATTACGGATAGAGGTTAATGAGATAAGGAGATCCGTCAGCAAAGCTCATGAGTCAGGCAGGATTTGGGGAATTTCACAACTGCCCCACTGGTGTTGGTGTTTATCTGACCTCTCTGGGCAGCCATTAATTGCTGCCTGATGAACCAAACCCAATAACAACATTAGAGACCTGCTAATTACTACGGAATGGAGATGAGCTCCTCCAGAACGTATAAAGGAGAACTTCCATTCTCCTCTAGAGTAGCTGAGGATCCTTCATTCTCATTTCTCCTCCTGTTTCACCACTTCCTCCACCGGCTCTCCCAACTGGAAGTGCTGCCATGAGACGATATTTCTCTGGATATGGGGATGGGAGTTTCAGTTCTTCTTCTGCTCACTGCGGGACCTTGGGTGGTGGAGATGGGAGATTCGGAGGGTTTGAGCATGGGTATGGCAGCAGGAGCCTCCACAGCTATGGAGGGTTCAGGAATGTCTATACTGGTGGAGGCTACGGAGGAGAAGGAGTAAGATATGGGAGATGCTTTGGGTTTGGTGGCTGGAGACAACCTGAGAGGGGCTTTGGTGGAAGAGGATATTTCGTGGGAGGTTTTCAAAGTGGTAAAATAGGGCAAGGTGGCACCTACAGAGGAGGTTCAGGCAGGGAGGTACTCAGAGGAGGCCTTGGTGTAGGGGAACAAGGGGCTGGACAGGGACTGGGGCAGGCTGGAATTCTCCGAGGCATTGAGGAGGTCCATGTCAACACCAACCTGCTGAGGCCAATACGGCTCCAGGTGGACCCCGAGTTCCAGCGAGTGTGCTCAGATGAGAGGGAGCAGATCAAAGCTCTCAACAACAAATTTGCATCATTCATCGAGAAGGTGAGTCCTGGTTTCTGTGCTGTTATCTGGGAAGGGGGAGGTATAAGGTAGGTGTGAGTCATGGGGACACCTTCATGTTCCATCTTCTCCCCACAAAAATCCCAGCATTGGCTGAATTCCCACAGGCTGCTGTGAAGCTCACAATGGGTCCCTGTGAACACCGCTGGGTGAATCACTTTTT